ATGATACTCTGGAGCTGGCTAGTTCTCCAAGAGTTGAATGGTTTTGTGACAGCCCCCAGAGCAGCTGTGAAAGCCAGGCAGGCAGCCCATCTGCACTTCTTACTCGCCACTGCCTTAACCACAAGGAACTGCTTCTCTTTAGTATGATGCCCATCTGATGGGAGCTGGTGATGCTTCCCTCCATGTGCTCCCTTGGCTGCTCGCAGTGAGGTGGCAACTTGAGCTGCTTTACACTCTGCCTTGGACCTTTCCCTTTTCTTTCTCTAAGCAAGGATACAGTTAAACCATAGCATCTAATTTTATGGCAGTAACAGGCCAAGCAACAGCTGAGTCCCAAAGACAAAGCACGTAGAAGGGGGAACAAGTTGCATGAGTCAGACTAAAAGCTTCATAAATATTGACTGGTTTTAACAGTCCCTTAAGGAACAGAGTACCTCATTTTATAACTACATTTCCCTCCCCATTATGCACTCCCTCCTCTCAGGGAGCTGCGAGGAGGGCTGCTCTCCTGGCTTATGTGCACAATATTTTAATTCCTTTCTACAGTCAAGCTGCACGTTTAGGGATTTTGCACCACACATCAGCAAAATATCTGAGCGCCTTCCAGTAATGCTTTAAATAACGGGACTGGAGTGGGTTTTGTTCTCTCAAGTTCACCCCAGGGTAGGAGTGACACAGGCAGAGGAGAAATCAGATACTGTGTAAGGCTGAAGAGGACAGGGTGACCTTCTACTCTGATTCCTACCAGGTGAACCACAGTTGGAGACACAGAGGAAACAGATAGACGCGATGGGAACAGACAGAAGAGGCAAAAGGTGTCAGGTCTACAATGATGATGCAGGCAAGAAAGGCAGACACTATGGAAGTGAGAAAGGACTTGGCTACAGAAGATGGAAACAGTTTGTTAGGCACGTGAATAGACAGAGGTGATAGGGGGGGGGGGGGTGTACGCCGTAAGTCACTGCCCAGGATGGGGAGCAAGATGACTGCTGCCTTTCTGACACTATGTACAAAGCTGACTTCACCTCTGCTGTAAGGGCAGCTCCCCTTTCTTGCCTGCTTCAAGCGCACCAACTTCTCCCTGCTTTCTTGGGGCTGTCAAGCCCCCACCCTGCCTTTCCCTCTACAAGGCATGTCCCCTCCTCATTTCCAAAGTTTTTTGTCGTTCCCCACCCTCATCTTATTCTTAGAAAGACTACAGGCAAGAAAACAGTGCTACGTGAGTCTCCCCATATGTACTGCACAGTATAAAATCCTATCTCTACCAGGTTGGACTACCTGATTGCAACCAAGTCCCATCCTTGGTACAGAGGTTGCAGGACAGTTCATATGCCCTTTCTCCCAACCTTAAGTGAAGGCTGTTCCTTGACAGGTCCTCCCACAGCAGGTTGTTTGCTTTGCAACCAAGCAAACTAAGGTTAAGTGGAGACCATAAGACCATGACAAAGCCCATGGATGCTGTTGAGGCTCACCTGAAATACACGATGCATGTGATGCTTTCATGTGTTCTCTGGAAAAGCAAAGAATGTCCTCTTTCTCTCTCTCCAAACCCCAAATGTGCAGCATACAAAGTGGTTTGGAAACCTGCCACTCCGAGCTGGAAAGTAGCCCTTTCATTTTCTCCTGCTTTCAGCAGCTCAACACTGCCTCCTGCACCTTCTAAGTCACTTGAAATCCACACTGAATTCCGCTTGTCTGAGGCTTACTCTGAGACAGTAAGGGTTACTGCTTTGGGGTTAAACTAAGGTTAGGTTATTTGGGGACTGCATCTCTTCTAGAGGCAGTTTTAGTTTTGTTAGATCTAGAAGCAAAGCAAAAAGGGACTTCAGAGAAACTGGGATTTTTTTATAACATACCTGAAAGCTTCACAGGCTCCAAGAAATATAGTCAACACGGCAGAGAAGAGGAGTCTATGCACAGAAAGAAGCTGAAAATTTGGGGAAGATTATGTCCAAGAGCAGCAAGGGCCAGCCACCCTCTAGGAAACAGGGAGCCAAGTACAGTGATGCTGCCAGCAAGACAGGGCTCCATCCCAATGGGTGCAAGCATGGCAGGCCCAGAGACAGCAGCCAGATTCAGTCAAGAGTCCCAATAACCAGGGAAGCCCACGATGATGAGGCAGATCCAGGGTCAAGCTGGAAGTCAATCCACCAGCCAGAGTCAGGCCTGGGGATAGAAACCAGCATCAAACACAGCTTAGGGAACACCAGACAGGTCCACACCGATGGAACACATCTGAGGTCAAGCAGGGAAGTCGACTTGCAGGTCTGGTCCAGACCAGTAGGAGCCATGGGCAAGCAAAGATATAGCTGAGCTGCAGACTGGTATTACTCCAACACAGCTTAAGCAAAACTAGAATGAGCCCAGGGCTGAACTTAAATGGGGCTCCTGAGCCTATGGGTAGAGAGGGTGGTGGAGGCCCCAGCTGAGGCTGGTCAGGACTGTTAACACCCTCAGGGCCCTGACACATGTACTCATCTCTCTCACACTCAGAGCTGGTGCAGCTGAGTTTAGTGGCATCTGCTTGGGCCATCTTCTCCATTCCTGCCCTCTGGACTGGCTGGTTTTGTCCACCCTTGTTAATTTTCCAGTTTGGTTGTGTTTGATTACCTGAAGTCTGCATAGCTTTATGAAAAGAGAAACTTCTATGTGAAGAGACTTAGACAGACTAGGACCATGTGAGTTAGAGATGGAGGTCACATCTTCATGTTCTCACTATCTTTGAGCTCCAAGCACAAGCGCTCAGTGGATGATGTAGAAGACATTATCACTGAGTGAAGTAATAGGGAGAATATGGAGACTATGTTGGTTTTCTATTGAGAATAAAATATGTAAGAACAATCAAATTCAATAGTATTTCCAGCACCCAGACAGATGGGCTAAAAGCAAACGAATTTTCCAGGTGGGAGTCTTACAGAAGCCCAACACTTCAAATTAACCATCTCATAATGGCAACAAATGCAAAAAGTCCACTAGTGTCTGGCAGCGGCTGTCAGGCATCTATCCACCCACCTGCTCACAGCATCCAGCAATCTCCCTTCTAGTAAGTAAATGTAGAACAGCAGTCCTTCACCTTCACCAGGGCCCTCACTTCAAAGGACTTGCACACTACAGATGTTAGTTGCTTTTGGGGCTGAACAGTCGCAGTGACCCAGAACTGAAGTTTGTCTGCAGTGAAAGAGGAAATCCCAGGGAATAGCTCATCTTCCTGAAGAGCCTGCCAATAGCCCGTGATGCCTCACAGACAAGGACAGGAAAAAGCAGTCTAAGATCTATGGATTCTGCATGCACTTAGATGAGATAGGGTAAACCACCATCTATGTCAAAGCAAACCCAGTTTCACAGCAGATCTCAGGACAGACTAGTAGATATCTGGAAAACCCTTTAATACCAAGTAAAACCAGACTTGATCTTCCCTAAATAATATGGTTTTGAGTCAGAGCTACTATTGTCCACCCTGGACTTCTGTACAAGGTGGTTCTTGTCAAGTTATGGTCTCTGCTTCATGGGGCCTGCTCACTGCTTCACCAGTTTGAAACGGGCAGCTCAGGGAGACAGAGGTGGCTGGAAAAGTGTTCCCTGTAGGACACAGGTATCCTTCAGTCTGAACAGAACTTTGTGAAGAAGAAAAGCGGAATACTTCACCTCATTGGTCACTGGTTCACAGGACTGAGAGAAAAGACAAGTTTGGTTTATTTGCACATACTATATCTGCAGGGAAAATTCTGGAATATTTCCTCAGTAGGGAAGTATTCCTTAATGGAAACATCACATTCATTGTCACAGGTACCTCTTGCAAAAAAATATGAGCCTCTCCCCTCTCATTTTTTGGTAAACAGTAAATATTAAAAGGAATATTAAAAGGCTAGTCATCCTGTAGATATCCAAGGTTCACCGCAAGTTGTAGGGAGAGCTGGGGACTGGAAGCCAAAAGCCCAAACATGGAAAAGATATTGTCTTTTTGTTAAGATGAAGTGCAAATACCATCAGATTAAGCTACGCTGGGTAATCTGGCATGATGTGTCAAAAAAGCACACGAGGTGAGTCACTAGGAGTGTATGTACAAGTCAGAGCTTGGCCAAAGTGAAGTACGGATGATTCAGTTCTGCAGAAGGAGCAGAAGTGAAGAACAAAGTTTAGCACTGTTACTATTGCAAGATTTTTCTTGGTAAGGTTGTAACAGAAAACTAGTAGCAGGTCCCTGATCAATAGTGACGGACAGGCAACAAATAGAAGCCAAACCAAGACGTAGTCACGACCTGAAAAAACATGGAATGTGTGCAATGTACCTCAAGACTTTGCTCTAAACTAATAAAATTTTGCTGTGCAGCCAAAGCCAGCATCTGACCTTCCACTTCTTTTTTTCCCCGAGAAAAAACTGAAGACAGTTGCCCATCCTTGATGTATTCCATATCTGCTGCCAAATCTGCACTCCCCCACTCAGACATAATCCCAAAATAGGGTGTGATGCCTTTCCCGCTGACAAAGCCATAAGTCACGGTGAGCGAGACACACTCAACATCCTCCAATCAGTTAAATGAAAAGAGCTCTCCCCCTCTGTTTCCCACCGCTTCAGTACTCATTATATCTCACATTAATTAATATCGTCACTAGGAAGTGAGATGATAAATTGCAAAAACCCATTAACCTGATTCTGTCCAAGCTGGTGACATACGGTAACTTGTATGTTAGACAAATCTTTCTTGCTAATGTGGGAGTCCTCATGTCTGAACTCCATTGAAAGAGCAGCCCCGAAAAAATATTTTTAATGTATGTATGTTTGGAATGTATATCAACGTGCATGGATGGTGTATGCTGGTGGGAACATCAGAATTCATTAGATCAGTCTGATATGAGATATATTGAACAGGTTCCATCTGACGTCTGTTACTGGGTTGTTCTGTCCACTCCCAAAGGAGTGAATCATATTGACAGGTTGAATTATATCGCAAGAGATATTTTTCTCCCCTCCTCCAAAGGCCATTTGCAATCACGGCACATCCACTGCCTCTTAAAAGTGAGCTCATCTGGCACTGGGTTGCATTGAAGTCCTCCACCGTGCCTGAAGGAAGAAGGCTTTTGGGTGGTGGGAACGTGGAGAAGATGTGGTCTGTCCAGCTGTCCCTTGGAGTGCTAGCTGTCTTGACCATGACTGTGTACATCCCATCTACACACGGAGAGCCTTTTTTACTACAAGGTAAGCTGGAATACAGGCTAGATGACACAGGTAGGTGGTTATCTTTTTGCTTTGCTTTACTGCTTGTCACAGCCAATGCAACACTCGCTTGTCTGTGAAAGAGAATAAAATGAACCTTGAGCCATATGAAACAACCAACTAACATGGGTGCTAGCCAGAGTCTTGTTCACGTTAACATGAGCTAAAGCTGTCCTTCTGGTCTGCAGCTGGTCATATGACACATTCTGCTAATCAGTAAAATTATCAGATCTGGTGAAATCTGGTAAGGGTAGCTCTTTCTGTCCCAAAAGAAAATTTCCAAAGAAAAACATTAAAATATCAGAGAGTAGCAATTCCGGTATGTACCATATGAGATTTGACAGCTCATAAATGTCAGTAGTAGGGTGCTGCTGAACTTTTTTTATTCACAAAACTTCTTTTTATATGTTCTTCTCCCATGATTTAAATTAATCTTAGCCTGAACTTATTCTGCAGGAAAATGTCAATCATTAATCTTCTTAAAGAGACTTGGCAGTGGAAAAAAAAAGAGCAGCTAAATATAGGCTTGAAAATAACATTGCTTTTCAAATGATTTTTCCTCTTATATCACCTATTTATTTTTGTAACGACAACCAAAACATTCCTGAGGCCACTCTATTTAAATACTGCTTCTGTTTAGTTTTCACTAGAGTGTTTATGGGGTTTTTTTCTGTAGCAAATCCCCCAAATGACTAAAAGTAGCTATTTTAAAATCATAACTGTCTTTCAGACATAGGAATGAGGTTTATAGCACTCCATGCTAGCTGCAAGTTTTACACAGCGTGTAGCTCTGCTAGCTCCCTCGGGTTTATTTCTAGAGATCACAATCAGGAGCAGCGGTTTCAGCCGCAGCGTGAGGCAGGGTTGAGTCTGGCCAAATACTTGGAGCATCACTTTGGCCAGGGCCCCTCTGCTTCTGCAGATTTATGCGACTTTAGCTAATGGAGCTGATTCCCACTTACTCCTGAGCACCCTTAAGGCTCATCTGCTACAACATTTTGTCTCATGCGTATCAAAAATAATTGCATTCATCCCATCACAGCTATGTAGGGCTGATGGCTACACAAGATCATATTCTCCTTTCTCACCTCCTAGAAAGGAGTGAACAGAAGTCCTAAAAATCCTGGAAGAAGAGAAAATAAGCCTTTCTGCATAATGTGTTGGTATTTACCATGGATTCTCTAGGCATCTTCTAGGGCTTTGTAGGGTCTGGATTTGGGCCAGGGATGCTCAGAACAAAGATTCTGGGGAATGGCCATTCTCCCTGTAAAGTCTAGCTCCCATTCTGTCATTCTTAAAAATGAATGCAACACTCAACTTTCAGATGATTCTGGAAATCTGTTCAGCAGAGCTGGGAGGGACTCAGAGCCTTCAGGGCTCTAACTAGTCCCATCCCCTGTGTCCGTTGGTTTCTGGTGACCCCCATTCTTTTGAGGGCATAGCCCCAACCACTAAAGCAAAACCGCTGAGCAAGCTCCCTAAAAGGGCCTCATAGGCAGGTCCAAATTGCTTTAGGGCAGCAGCTTGCAGAGGTTTTTCCTGGAAAACAGAAAAATTCTGCATGGCCCACAGCTACCGTAACAGGCTTCCTTGGAGATAAAGAGGCTCCCTTTAAACTCCTCCACGCTTTGGCTCTGTTCAGGAAGAATCCGTTAACACCACTGGCAGTCAGATAGAGCAGCCCCAAGGGGGAGTGAGCGCAAGAACAGACTGCGGGGCTGCAGGGCTTTTCAGCTGTGGTACCCACGCGTCAGCCCGCATGGGGAGCAAATTCCCACCTCTATCAGCCCTGGGAAGGTGGATGGGGCGAGCAGGGGGAACGCCTGCAGTTTTGAGAAGAGAAGATTGTGCGGGTTGTTGTCTGGCTTTGCAGAGGCATCCGCTACATCTGCCTTGCAGAAGAGGTCGGGACTGTCTAAATCAAGGTGTTGTCTCCAGCTCTCTGCAGCCAGCCATGCCACTGAGGCTGCAGTGAGACTGGCCAGCAGCCCGGAGCTGGCAGGGAGGGCTCCTCCATCCTGCAACCTTTCACTGCATAGCCCTCACTGCCTGGACAATTAATTCTGTGCTTACACATCTTCCTCTTCCCCCAAGCTCATTCCACCCTGATGAAGTGCTGACAGGAGACATTTTGCTTCCACTTTTAGTCTTCTTAATTTTTGTTTTAATGTTGGGGGCTAGAGAGTCCATCCTTTTTGTTATTAGAGATCAAGAAATGTGTGGTTTATGTGCTGCAGAGAACCGAGTGCTTCCGGAGAGAGAAGACACAAATCATGAGGACACACTGCTGACTCTGCTTCTTAATAAGAAACTCGCATGGCGGAGACCGGAAAATATTGGTAAGTGAAGAGAGTGGGAGATCTCAGCTTCTTGAATCTGTGTTTGCATGAATGCAAGGAACCTGCTCCTCAGGTTCCTCAGAAATACCAACTGCTCAGAAAGTGGAAGCACCCAGTATGGTGCCTACACATGATTCAGGTCAGATATTCTCCAACATGGGTCTCCTAGACCTGCTTTTGCAAAGTGATGTAAAGGTGCCCAAAACCACACACCCTAGATCCTCAGACATTCAACACAGAGATGGCAAGGGAGCGTGTGTGTGTACATAAATAATAATAAGAAGAGTTGCTGCTGAGTCTCTGTGCCCCTGCTACCCCTGAGACGTTGTATACTATGCCTGGGGCATGGGCCAGCTTCAGGAGTCACCTCTCCACCCACACTCCGTACAGCCCTGTGTGCTTTTGAGAGGCAGCTCAGTGTCTTGCTGGCATGCTAAAGCCAGCAGCATCTTGTGAGCACACAGGGCAGTGGGGCAGCATCAAGATTTTGCAGAGAGCGTATGGTTGAGATCCCTTGGGGTCGGGTGTAGGTTGGGACAATGGTGGTGGAAGCTCCTGTCTGAGCCTAAGCCCCTGCTACTGCTGGACGATGTTGAGACAATGGGCTTTTCCCACACAGCGGAGAGGCCAAGGATGGGCCACGCAGAGGCTTCTCCTGTCTGTGCTCTGTGAACAGACACCAAATTTAAAGCCACCTGCATGTTGCAACAGCCTCTAAACTCAGACTCGCTGAAGAGAAACTTGGGCTTTCCATGACACTATGCACAGTGATCATGAGTGCTATAGGGATTGCAGGGGTCAGCTATTCCCACGGCCACCGTGGCCAGGGGAGGGTTTGGGCCGTATGTGGTGGTCTTAGAGCAGGAAGCTGCTCTTCTCTGTGAAAACAGCCAAGAATGGGGCCCAGCAAAAAATTTTGTAATGAAAATCCATTCGTCAAAATCAGTGCTCTTCCCCAGCCCCTTGTTAATGCAGTGAGGCAGTGGTTAAACATCCCTGGGACAAATAAATAAACACAAATAAATCAAGTCCTTATACTAACAAAGGCATTCTTCTTGCAAAGGAGATGCATTCAAGAAATAACATTTTTATGATTGGTTTATGGATTATTGCACTTATTACTCCTGGAGGAAAGGCTGCATTTTATGCCAGACAATTGAATATAATGAATCTCTGAGCAGAGCACAGAGAATTTACAGCAGGCAGTTTCTCAAGGCTTCATCCATAAATTAACTTCCTTCCCCCTGCCTGAGATAATCTGTTCCAAATTTCGACCGCTGTTCATTTTCTATTCATAGCAGTCATTGGCCAAGCTTACAGTTTGCAGAAAGTCGAGCCAACACAGGCACTTGAAACTGAAAGAGGTAAAAATGATGATGATGATAATAATAATAATATCTTAAGTGATACTTTTCACTTGTAGATATGTAGGCCTGGTTGCCTCTATCTTATAGATATGTAAAGACAAGCTTAAGAGGAATCTGCCTGAGGTCATTGCTGGCAGTGCCAGGAACAGAGCCCCCACCTCCTGACTCCCAGCCCATCCCCACGCCCAGACCATCTCTCAAACTGAGCCCTGACGCAATGGATTTGCTTAGGAACGGCTGCTTTTTCTGTTGGATTAATATCTGTCAGAAAATATTCAGGATTTTTCAACTCAATTATTTCCTTCTTGAAGGAGAAACTGAGAAGGCAGTCAGCTCTTTCTTGGCTCCCTCCTGCTCAGTTTCGAATGTTAAAAAAAAGCCCAAGTGTGGCAATGTGTCTGTGTGCTGAAGTCTTATCTGAAATCAGGGGGAATTATGTCCTAAATCCCCTTGGCGATGCAGACCAAAGCCTGCTGCCACATTAGGAGCAGACAAAGCAGGCAGCTTTAGGGCTGGCTTTTGGTTTTCTTGTGGGGCCCAGCGGAGACATTCTTTCGCTCTTTCCTGGCTCATCTGCTTATTTTAGTGCATTTTTTTTCCCAAACTGGCACTTAAAAACAGCTGATCACTTTGTGTTCCCCTCCCAGGAGGACTGCTGTACTCCAGTCACTGAGCTTTGACTGAGCTTGTTTTGTCGTAGTGCTTTCCATTCTTTCAGCTATCTTATTAAAAAAAAAGAAAAGAACTGTTTTTGACATCAGTTTGAGTCTGGAATAAAGTACCTCAGTCCTCAAGAGGAGATTGAAGTCCCACATCCCTTCCTGCAGCTTAACCTGTTGCTAGTCCAGGCCCTTCCCAATCCAGCTGGAGGTTTTAGATCCTGTTCACAGACATCTAACTCTCCCCTTGTCCTGGATGGGATACCTCAAGGCAGCTCATTCACCCCTCTGCATAGTTTTTTGACAGCCTAGTACAGTACTGCTTAGCCTTGAGATTTCTAAGTCTGATCTATGAAGCTGGCTCCCAGGTCCCTCTGCTCCCCTAACATTTAGAAGAGTGAAACCCCTGCACTCAGTGCTGTGTTACTTTCCCCGTTGTTCCACTCTGCCAGCCCTGATGTTTTGCTGACTTGTAAGCAACAAGCTATGCTAGGCTAAATCTGTGTCTTCTGACTTCTGCTTGCATGGGTGATGTGAGGATAAACAAGTCTTAAAGGAAGCAATGGGAGTTCATACAAAAGGACAGAGACAGAAGAGCTAGCGTTAGAGATTTGCTGTTATCAGGATAAAAATCAAAAGTGGCAAAGAGGTTCACCTGAGCTTGTATCACAAAGTATGTGACCTTGCTGGGCCAATCCTCCTACAAACTGGTGAATGACAAAGAAGCCTCACTTGTGATAGAGAATTAGGGTAAGGTCCCACAGAATTCAGCAGAGAAAGTCTGCATTTCTGTCACGATTTCTGCTACCATAAATTTGCAGGTCACTAACAGGGATCAAATGATAATTAGGTCTTTTTATGTCAGCCGCTGAAGAGGTTAAATGAAGAAACTATTCTGGATTTGAGCTTTGGGAAGCAATGCAGACACTGATGTTACTCTCTCCCTTCTTGCAGACTGGGAGCTGGCGAAGAAATTTGAAGAGCTTGAACAGGTGAGAGGAGCAAACGCACAGACACATATAGGCATACGGTTGCATGAATAGCTAAACAACTGTGCATATTGTCTTGATGCCCTATTCTTCTATCTTTGCATCCTGCTACTCTTCCTTCTGCTGCTATAATGGAAGCATGTATCACACAAAGGGAAAAGCAAAACCAGGGCTAAATAGCTGCACAAGCTGGAAAAGATAAGACGCGAGCAAGGCTGTGGAGTAATGTGGTAAAGGCTGAGGCAGCTCTTGCCTCTGCCACCAGTGAAAGGCCAGCGAAGGCCAAGCCAGGAAAAAACCAGACGCCAGAGGAAATCTCCATGGAAGAAAAGGGAGGGAGAAGGGGAGGTCATGCTGTCTTCCTAAGCATTGCATCAGCTGGCTGTGTCTGATAATGGATTGAAGTCAAAGGGATAGCCACCGCACACCTAATCCAGACTGATTTTTGTTTGGGCTCTTTACTAGCAAGGGAGGCCCTACCCAGGGTCCGAGCCCTGCCGTGCTGCGCAGAGTGCGCACACACACAGAAAGAAAGAGAAAGTCCCATCCCACACCCAGTGCCCAGGAACAGGGAAAGGGGCGCAGCGACCTCAACATGCCCCCCACTGTGCCCCAAACCCTGCAGGCAGGGGAAGAAGAGCTTTTTCCCCTTTCTCAGGCCAGGTCCAGCTGTTTGCCTGGATCCTGTAGGTCCTGCTGAGCTCCACCTGGCACTTTTCACTGTAGACTGAAAAACGACAGTGTGGCATGCCAGACGGGAGGCTGCCAGCTCCTACCCTAGCCTCTCACTCCAGTGCTGAGGTACATTAAGCTCTGGCTTCCTAGGAGCAACACTGCCAGAGCAGAAGTCTAGATGATGGCTGTAGATGGTCACAGTCTACTAAAAAAGAGTAGCTACAGATGGAGAAGAAATACTGTGGACTTTCCACATTATAACCAAGGGAAGTTAGCAAGTGCTGGGGGAAAGGAAGGGAGGGACAGCCCAGAGCAATGCAGAAGCAATGCTTTCTGCTGCAGTGAATGGATACCTGGAGACCTCCTGCCCCAGCACTGACTTGGCTTTTAGATATGCAATATCCTTCTACACAGCCTCCTCTCCACAGGGCTTTGCACCCTGGGGTGGAAGAGCAGAGTGTGCTTACACCACTGCCACAAAATCAGCAGCTTAGTGGAGAAGGGCTTGAGGAGCTGTGAGTGCTCCAAAGGCAGATCCTCCTGGAATGGTCCTGCTCCAGGGAAGACCCTGTCCTCCCCGGTGCTGCCATCAGCCAGGCTGTCTGTACCTCCTGCCTCTGAGCCGCCCTGCACTTGCCAGCGTGCTGCGGAGGTCCTTAAGATGGGGCATTTATTTACTGCTCTGTTTATTTTTAAACAGCTGGAGAGGTTGAAGGATCAGCTCTCGACTGAGGAAGGGTCAGAGGTGGCCTATGCCTTGGAAAGTCTCTCAGCATCCCAGCCCAAAAAACGCGGTAGGTTTTGGGTTAGAGCCCTGCAGCCATCCTGTCCAGCTCTCATCTCCAGGGCTTCCTTTATGCAGCAAAGACAGTGACAATAAACATGCCCCAAATATGCTGAAAAACAGGTTGGCAGCTTTTCCAGCAGTCCTGGCCCTCTCTTGTTAATGGCTGGCTGGTTTAGCAGTTGGTGAGAAGGACTGTGTACCCAACCCTGTCTGCTGTCGGGGCACAGCCAGGACCTCGCTGGAGGCAGTCAGTGTTGCATCCCTCTTTTCACAAAGCAACAAGGGGTTATAAGGGAAATGAGTGCCTGTCCTGGAGGAGGTAAGTTCTGTACAAACACGTCCCTGCAGTGTACCACTCACTTTGCTCCGGGCACAAAGCTGGTGCTGAAGGCGTAATGAGGCACATGGACTGCAAGCATTCCCCTCTGCCAAGGTCGCTGCCTCCCTACAAAGAAAAAAGGAGTGCTTGTTTGTGCTGCTGAAAAGCAGCTAAAAAAGCTGTGGAAATCAACCAAGAATGCAGGGAGCTAAGATCTGGTAGGTTCCCCTAGTTGGTCTCTGAGCGTTGTCCAGCCTGTGTCCAGTGACTCAGGAGCATATTGCACCAGAGCTCCTGCGAGGCTGCCCCTGACAAGCACATGGTCAATGCCGTTCACACTGGCTTTCAGTGGATTCCTCCACAAAGGAGTGGCAGCTGTAAACCAGAAGTCACTGATGACAGACCTGGCCTAAAAACAAAAGAGCTAGTTCCGCCCTCACCCTACATGCTCTGTGCATGTGCACACTGACAACCTGCCAGCCAGCCAAGAGAAAATCCCTTTGTACAAGGCTTGCTTAAGTGCTTAGGTGATCTTTAGACAATTTGCAATTTATAAGCAACCCTGGAGGCTGTCATTAATTTGGCTAATCTAATTCATGCCCCCACCAGCCTGCAAGGTTCAAATGTAGATAAAACTACCTCCCCCTGACAGCTTTAAATCATATTCTGCCAGAAATTAAAGCAGAGAATCTTTGCCTTCATCTAAAGTCCTTCCAGTCTGGAAGGAGCTCGTGTCTCAGCATGAGCATTGCTGATTCAATAGAAGCTTTGTCCCAAGATCCTGCTTTCAAACACCAGGTAGAAATCTTTTCTCATACTTGACAACAGAAGACCCACACAGGATTCAAAGAACAGGGCATACTGGTGATACAGCTATTTTTTCCAGCACCAGAATGTGCAGCCTTCCCTAATCTATATACATCTTAGAAGATCCCACAGAGATCAATGTTGTTTGGAGGACAGTTAGCAGCAGAGTGATACAGTGACTGGGTTTTAAAAATAATTGTAAAGACCAGATCCAGTCTCTCCAAGTCAGTATCCTGCTCTTCGAGTCAGCCACAGGTGAAAAACCTGCATACACCTCTAAGGCAGCAAAACTGCTGGCCAGTAGACAGGAAAGAACAAGCTGATTCCCAATATTGCTGAAGGAGAGCAAAAGGAAAAGCAAACCCTTATAAATCAAGCAACACAGAAACAACTTTTAGATCCCTTCTTTACACTATAAGCAGCTAAAAGAAACACCTTCTAAAAGTGTTATATGAAGTCAAAGCTGGTTATTGAGATGTGCCCGAAAACTACAATGATGGCTTCATGCCCCAACTCTCTGAAGACATGGGGCTTTTGAAACTCACTCCAGGACTAGAGTGGGAAGCTGGAAAGAGTCCCTTGGAGGCTAACATCCTTCTCTTATATCCCTTCACAGCCTGCTTTTGGAAATACTGCATTTGAGGTCTTGCCAGGACTGGAGGATGAAGATGAGCCCTTCCCCAAACTGCCTGTCTGGGTATAAATGTGTTCAGAGTTTCTTCTGTTCTCTCATCGTGCTGCCAACTCGGATGCCACCCTCCATGACCGCACCACAGACAAGTATAACAGGGATCGTGGCAGAAGCTGGTAGCCCACTACCACTCTCCCCTGCTCCTTCCTTCCAGGTTCAACCTACTGTGATCTTCTACTTGGAAGATGCTTCCCAACTTTCCTTGCTGTCCTGTGTGTGCCATTCAGTCTGCTGCCACGGTACACTCTTCCCCTTCTCACCAGGTCCCCCGAGGCACCAAACACCAACTCAGTGTGTCTGCATCTGCAGACGTTGCTCACGGTGGTGTCTGGGCTTCCTTTCACCTCCTGAGAGCAGGTCTGTGGTGACCCAACACCCGCTGCTGGGACAGGACAGAGGACTGCCTGTGACATGGAGGGCTCAGGGCTACCTACCTCAGCTTGCTGAGCCAGAGCCGGCCCTCATCATGTCCCATCAGTGTACACAGTAGGTTTGGGGGAGGACAGGCATGGAAGTCTGGATCCTTTGGATATCATTCCAATAAATATTTTCTGTTGCACAGAAGCACATGCTGTTTTCTTTCTCACCTCCTGCAGAGGCCCAAGGGGCAGCACATTTCCCCTGATGTAGGCTCGTTACCTTAATGGTTCATGTGAACGTTACAATGGAAAAAAAGCTCCTATTAAATAACCAGCTATAGCAATACAGGCTTGTTTTAATGTGCCTGAGGAAGAGGCCCTTCCTTTTGATCAGAACTGGAAATGAGAGTTGGGTCTTCCTGATGGACATGTGTGGGCTGCTGTCCTCATAGGACTGGACCAGAGCCACCGATTTCTACCTCCTCGCCTCAAAGGGATGTTTTCAGCAGAGATTTTGGGCTCATTTGGCTGCTGAGTACAGGTGCTAGCTGACTTTTTCTACTGCAGAATTATGTATGCCCCTGTCCAAAAGGAAGAGATCACAATCCATCAGTGGTTCTTACATATATTATTCTTAAGTCATGTTATCTACATTTGTTTGCAAAAACAATGGACCATGTTTCCAAAGGTGTAAATTCAGAATGAATCTTACAGCCACTGATGTTAACTCTGAGGTTTCCAGAGGTGTAAACGAGAGCAGAATCCGGTAGCCACTGTGAACGTGTGGACTGATTTTGATTAGACTTGAACAATCTCTCCAGCCCTCTCGAACCGTGCTATTTAACTGCAGATTGCATGCTACATATTCTTCAAAACTTTACCTCTCCCAACACTGTAATTACCATGCAACATTCATTTGCCTTGGGCTCTGGCAAGATGCGCACGTTTACCACAGCACTACCTTGTATGTACTTTATTAACAGGAGATCCATTCATCCTATTACAGGCCAAAGCCAGCATCTATGGAATAAAACCAGCTTGATTATACCAGTGAGGCCTAATGACATGAAAAATACAGTTTGCTGTTAACATTAATTCTTTGTTACTTCCTTGGTAGTGATTCAGAACACATTTCCCATTTTCTCTTGTTGTTGTGCAAGTGAAAATGTACGTGGGAGCATACTTCATATACCCTCACAACAGCACCAAGTCCAGGAAAAAATATAGCCTACTGCCAAGAGAAGAGTCTCTCTTTCTTTAAGAGTTTGGTGCTCCAGCTGAAAAGGAGGTGTATTACAGGCGCTGCACAGAGTTCCCCAAGCTGGTGCTCAGCTCAGAGGCTTTCAGCCTGCAGGAAATCCCGGTGCAATGGAAGGCTGGAGCAGCAGGCTCCATCTGTCACCTGCTAGCTGTAGCCATGCCTTCCCAATGTGACAACTGATCAGTACGTGAGGAAAAGGAATACAAGGTCTGTAGCTATTTAACAGCTTGCTCTCATCCTAGACACAGGAATTCCCTGGAGTGCAATGCACCATGCTGCTTAGCAGTGATTTTTGGGCCACATGGTGTGCTACATCCTATCAGCTCAGTCATTTAAGTGCTCATGGTACCCACACTACCCCACTGTTTCCTCACAGGCACTATATGCTGCTGTTATAGCTGATTCTGCTGGAGTGATGAGTAAGTGCTGAATGCAATTCATTTACTAATTTGGAGCAAAGGCGGTGATGCTCTCCCTAGGCTCACCCTCAGCGTGTCACTGTAGGGGTCCTGTACTTTCTCCTACACATGCAGAACAGAAACGCTTCCTCAGGTGCCACCTCCACATCGTAGCTGCTCACACTTTACCCATGCGTGGGCAGTCACTCTTGCTGAAGTTAATGACCCACAGGCAATAATTAAAGGGATTTCCTTTAGGCATTCTAGTAGACCATGTTGATTTATTAGCAGAAAATCCTCACAGGCATCTGAATGGATTTGCAAACAGGCAGCACAGGGCAAATCTAGAGTGCAATGGATGCTGTAGTATATCCTCATTTCACATTTGTTGACCTCCATGCTATGCACAATGACTGAAGTTATCCAATATTGTCTGTGAAAACAAATTGTGGTGTTTGGCCTTTCAGACGTCATCGTATTTCAAACAGCACCTGCCAGTTTATGGATTTTGAAGAGTGCTTTTCGAGCCACAGGAGGTCTCAGTGTTCCTCTGTCCTCTGGGGCAGAGGAACAGAAGGCTGCTGCTTTTTCCCAATTAATTCACGCGGTGAGGTGGGAGCCAAGTGCAGGAGTCACAGGCTGCCCAGAGGGGTTTGTGGAGTTTCCTTCTCTGGAGATACTCAAAACCCGCCTGGACACAGTCCTTTGCAGCTTGCTCTAGGTGATGCTGCTTTGGCAGGGAGTTGGACTAGATGATCCCCAGAGGTCCCTTCCAACCCCTACCATTCTGTGACCATTCTGGTTCCAAGCAACACCACCACTGGCCCCTCTGTCCTGCTTGCTTTCACACCATCCTTCAGACAGAGGCCATTTCAGCACACAGCTACAGGCTTTAAAACCCCTCTATTTAGAAGCCCAGGCTAAGACCTGCCAACTGTTACATTACTTTCAAGATCCAGCACTATCTTTGCAAAATCGCTGTGCTTTGCATTGGACTCCTCTGACCTGAGTCTCCCAAAATGTGTCATACAATGACTCTGTCCATGCTGCTTTTGACAAATAGCTGTATGAGCGGTCAGGTCATCATTTCCATAATCTGCCCATGCCACATACATACGGCTGCCTTGCAAGCAGATAATCCGCAGACCGTCTGGATGAGCTCAGTGCAATAAGATAACTGTTCACTAAACCGCAGGGCGGGCTAGGGCTAGGTGGTGGCAGTGCACTGCAGAGGACAGGGTCTGGGCTTGTCTGGGTCTGTGTTTGCAGATTTTCATCTAGCATGGACAGAAAACCTTGTCTCGGTCAGCTAGTCTACACGCACCCACTCAATCCAGCTCTCGGAGCCTTCACCCACAAGCTTAAAGGCAGAAAACGAGCAGTGGAACCAAGGGAAAAGCAGGGAGCAGAAAACCCAAGATGACCACATATGGACTTCCAGCTCTTCTTTCTTTCTATGACTTTTCATCTGCAGTGCTTCTCCTCACACAAAAGCACTGACAATTCACCGACCAAAGGAGGAACGATTGTCTAACACAGCTAGAGAGTGCTCTGCTTGATGGGAAAGATGGGGGCACCTCTTGATGGGATTCACTGGTTTGTGCAGCTGCTCTCAGCAGCATTAGCCTATACTGGAGATGTCAATAAAAGCAAAATTTCATGCAAACTTTCTGTGGCTGGGCCAGTCCTGGTCTCAAGGCAGGGCTGTCAGCAAGAAGCAAAACAGGAAAGGCCCCTGCTATGGCTGAGCACTAACCTTCTCGGACATGAATCAGATAAGAGCTGCCTTTCTGAGCAGGAGACTCATCTCCCACCATGGCCCGAACGGGGGCAATCGCCTCAATACCCCAATCCTCAGAACAGCTTTAACTTAAAGACTCATTGACTTCCCATCTCCTTTCCTGTAGCTGACTATATTTTTTCCCATTTTGCTATCTGACAGCCAGGTGCTTTGTGCCTCACATAAGATCAGGATATTAACACTTTGTTCCTGTCTCCAGCCTTACCCTCTGCCTAACACAGGGTGCTTGGCAAGAATCTTTTTTTTTTTCTTAGTCCTGCATAATCCCTTTCTCAATTGACCTTCTTTGGCAATTCCAGGGATGATTTATACCCAAGAATAGCAATCCGAGGATTTTAGCTGGCGTGAACCAAAGTCCAAGAAGGAGAATGTGAGGTTTAGAGACATCAGCTAGGAAACTGAGCATTGAGATATCAGCAAACAGCCCTTTTCAGCTATATTTTATAAGCTGGACAGAAGTGAAAAGCATGAAAGAAGATAACCTGTTTCAGTCTCAAATTAAGTGGGGAGGACATGTTTACATTTTACCAGTGAGGAATTCTTGAACTTTTAGAGTTGAGTGTCTTGATTATGCCCCACGCACTCATCAAGAGGCTAAAATAAGGCATATGATGCAGATGGCCTAGGAAGCAGATGACTTCATATTTGAATGTTACCCTGTGTTATGCGTAGGGAGGAGTGAAACGTATTCATCAGCTTAGCGGAGGAAACTAGAAGTCTCACCACATTTCAGGGTCTACCATATGATGAAAAGATGTCTAAATATGGTGTACAGATAAGAAAAAGGCTACTAAAAACATCAGGACAAATACTAAGGTATTCTCATAGTTCTTATTCAGACTAACTCCTAGTGAAGTCAGCAGACATCTTCTCCCAAACAGCAGTTCAGATAAATTCTAGGTTTGTCCCATAACTGTTAAATCCTCCCTTCATCTACCAGACAAACACCCTCTTGAAAGAAATGTGCAAAGCAAACTGTCTGCTTTTCATGGGCTGCTGTTGGCATCTCTGGAAGTTTTATTTTCAATCCAAAAAATCTAACAGTCCTTGCTAGGATAATGATCATGTGCCAGTTTAAGAAATAAGTGCCATGCAATTAAACTATACATATGTTTTCTGTTCCCTCCTATCAGTAGCACTGTGGACAACTGTGAGAGCATTCTGACTTGATGAACTGAATTTGTTGTTATTATTTGTAAATGCAACATTTGTAAAACTCAGTGTGAAACAGATTTTGCAGGAGGTCAGTTCCTTGAGTGCTGTTGAATCATTAGTCAATGAGAAGACATGCTGTGATGCATCTTCTCTATTTCTGTGATGTTTCTAATACAGCATCAATCATTCAGAACAGAAGCACCTGTAGGCAGAAAAGCAGTAAACATTACATTTTCCCTTGTCAGAAATGCAAGGCTTGGACAAACACACTGTAAAGTGATCCATGGGAGATGGAAAATGTTAGAAATACTTGCTTTC